GAGAAAGAGCTACAGAACGGTTCGAGTTGGGAAGGGACCTCTAAAGGTCGTCTGGTCCAACCCCCCGCCCTGTCACGGACAGAGACACCTTCCGCTACATCGGATGGCTCAAAGCCGCGTCCGACACATCTGGTGATGGTGCATCTGCCACCTCTCTGGGCAACCTGTTCCGGTGTACCACTACTCTCATCGCAACAAATTTCTTCTTTCTATCCAACCTAAATCTCCCCTCTTTCAGTCAAAAACCGTTGCCCCATCGCTACATGTCTTGGTACAAAGTATCTCCTCAGCTTTCTTGCAAGCCCTCTGTAAGTAGTGACAGGCCACAAGAAAGCTGTCTTCTCCAGGCGGAACAACCCCAGCACTCTCAGCCTGTCTTTGTAGGAGATGCTCGAACCCTCGAATCATCTTCATGGCCCTCCTTTGGATCCACTCCAACAGGTCTGTGTCTTTCCTGCACTGAGGACTCCAGAGCTGAATGCACTATTCCAGGTGGGGTCTCACAAGAGCAGAGGGGCAGAATCACCTCCCTTGACCTTCTGGCCATGCTACTTTGGATGCAGCCCAGGACACGGTTGGCTTTCTGGGCTGCAAGCGCACGTTGCTGGCTCATGTTGAGCTTCTCATCAACCAACACTCCCAGTCTTTCTCCTCAGGGCTGCTCTCAATCTGTTCACCCACCAGCCTGTATTGATGCGGAAGGTTGCCCCGATCCACATGTAGGACCTTGCACTTGGCCTTGTTGAACTTCATGAGTTTCTCAAGGGCCCACTCCTCAAGCCTGTGAAGGTCCCTCTGGACGGCATCCTTTCCCTCTAGTGAGGGTGTCTGTCTGGGTCTCATCTTCAGCACCATTCTCACATCTAACCAGCGCACCAACGTGATGACAGCTTGTCTTTATACTTGTATTGGCCCTGACCAAGGGATGACTGTATGTGGAGGAGTTGGTGATCCAGATGAACCTGAGTAGACCCAGGCTGGTCCTGCGCTGTGCCATATGTGTAGCCTGGCCTTCGGACCTATGGTGTGCTGCACAAACCCTTGGCTGCAGGATAAATAAACTTAGCCAGCTATTTGTAGTGGAGGAGCCTGTGGGCAGCTCCCAGTTGGTATCAGTCGTTTGGCCACCTGTGTGTCCTCACTTTTGTCTAAACATACAGCAAGAAGTTCTGATGTGAACATCCTTTCTGTTTGACAGTGGAAGCAAAGAATACATTTGTTCTGTAAGAAAATCCTACAGTAGCTCGTATGACCAAAACGAGGGATTCTCTTCTACAGATGGAGTCTGCCCAGCATGCCACATGTCAATCAGAGGCCCATTCGATGCTACATCACCTGGAGTTCCTGCCATCTAGAGGAACATAACATTATCTACTCTATTTTCCACTTATAGTGTGCGCCATATATATAATTTGTAGTGCACTGAACTGCCATTGTAGGTATAGGTATATAAATATGGTTGAGAAAAACTGATGTATTCTAAAATGAAGTATAGGGGGTGCAGTCATTTATTTTTTTTTGCCTACATATAAATAATTTTAATAAAGCAGCAAGCTTTTTTATTATTATTATTTGAGCCAAGTAAATACAGTCATGCTGGAATAAATGATATTCAACATCACAAATTTTGAAGAACATGTTGAGCTATCTCTTTGACAGCAGAAAGTGCTTCTAGGCAAGTTGGTTTAATTTCTTTAGGAGGCAGCAAAAATCCGTAAGTTCCTGTGTCCCGAAGCTCAATGGTAAAAGAATATTTAATGCCAAGATCGTAAGCCCAGTCGTCTGACCCTCCGGGAGCTAAATCTATATGAGAACGGGAAAATAGATAAGTTACCTGAAACCAGAACTTCAGTTTTCTGTTCAAAAGCTGTCTTCTGATGCTAGCAAGGATACGCTATCATGCCTGTTGTAGTAAAAATCATACTTACAAATTGTTTGTGCACCAGCACCAAGTCTGTAAGTTTTCCTTGTTGTCCTCTTTATAGCTGTAGCTGCTTTCTTTGCTAGACTTTCCTGAAATCAAATAAAACATTATTAGCTTTATAGCCTTGTGATAATAGTCAATATGTATTCAGTTAGGATTTATTTAGGAGAACCTAATGAAGTTCAACAAGGCCAAGTGCAAGGTCCTGCACGTGGGTCGGGGCAATCCCAAGCACAAGTACAGGCTGGGTGGAGATTGGATTGAGAGCAGCCCTGAGGAAAAGGACTTGGGAGTGCTGGTGGATGAGAAGCTCAACATGAGCCGGCAATGTACGCTGGCAGCCCAGAAATCCAACCATATCCTGGGCTGCATCCAAAGCAGTGTGGCCAGCAGGTCAAGGGAGGTGATTCTGCCCCTCTACTCTGCTCTCATGAGACCCCATCTGGAATACTGCATTCAGCTCTGGAGTCCTGAACACAAGAAGGACATGGAGCTACTGGAGCGAGTCCAGAGGAGAGACACGAAGATGATCCGAGGGCTGGAGCACCTCTGCTATGAAGACAGGCTGAGAGAGTTGGGGCTGTTCAGCCTGGAGAAGAGAAGGCTCCGGGGTGATCTTCTAGCAGCCTTCCAGTACTTAAAGAGGGCCTACAGGAAAGCTGGAGAGGGACTTTTTACAAGGGCATGCAGTGATAGGACAAGGGGTAATGGCTTTAAACTGAAAGAGGGCAGATTTCGATTGCGTAAAAGGAAGAAATTCTTCACTCTGAGGGTGATGAGGCACTGGAACAGGTTACCAAGAGAAGTTGTGGATGCCCCATCCCTGGGAGTGTTCAAGGCCAGGTTGGATGAGGCTTTGAGCAACCTGGTGTAGTGGAGGGTTTCCCTGCCCATGGCAGGGGGGTTGGAACTAGATGATCTTTGAGGTCCCTTCCAACCCAAACCATTCTGTGATTCTATTTACACTGTGCTCTGGATCTTGTATTAGTTAAATACATGTAGAAAAGGCTCTGGAAAACCCCCAGGATGTGATTAAAATTTTCAGCATATGCCCATGTTACAGATTGCATTTTCTGCTGTAGCTAGATAAAAAAATATATATGGGACCTTACCACCCACTTCAGGCAACAAACCATTTGTTCCCACTTGTCTCGTATTTTACCTTTTCCACCACAGTATTTATGTCAATGTTGATTTATGTAATATGGACAAAAACAGGAGGAAAATATTTTCATTGAGGGAATTCTGCTCTTAAGCCATGAAGAAAACTCAAATGTCCAGAATTAGTGCATCTCTTCCTACTTTACAGGGAAGGAGTCACAAATGCATTACTACTGTTCACTCACAACTGCATTTTTTTAATGCGGTATATAAAACAGTTTATTTCAGAAAATTAAACAGTAACCAAGACAGCATAAGAATGTACATTGTTTGGGGTTAGCTTGTTCCATATTTACATCCCTGGATTGTTTTCATTTCTTCTTTTGAACACATTGGCTCTAGGTACCAATGGAAATGTTATCTCGAACTGTTTCGGTTTTTGTCTAATGAAGTAGGATGCTTCCAATGCATTAATTGTGTACCCTTTGCAGTCGTCTTAATTGTAGAACATTTATTTTTTTTAAATAAAGTGGTTGTTTTTAATATCATTTAAAAAAATAATATGTGTTAATTGACAGGAGAGATGCGTGAGGTTGAAAAACAGTAAAAATGACAGCAGTGTGTGCAAATGTCAATCCTGTGTCTTCATAAATTCTCTTACTGTCTGTCCCTATATCTTGTAACATATGAAATAGCCTGGCCACCTCAGACATGTGCTGCCTTCCCATATGGCAAATCCCAAAGCCTGCAAACCTGCTTTCTGGTCCTCTTTACATGATTTCTGCTCCTTTCTTACTGCTAGGCAGGAGCCCTTGCTGCAAACAAAAGAATTTTTTGCCTCAGCACTTGGAGTTTAGGAAACACCAAAAGTGGGCTAGGAAGTGCAGGAGAGAGAATTCCTTACTCTAGGGGATTTGATGTCTTTGTGTAAGAAAAATATTACTAAGCTGCCCACCTACTCTTGTGGCTTAATTACTCTTTGTTACCAAATCCCATTGTAGCCTGGATATTCTTTACAGATCCAGGCAAATCTGGAGTTTTCCAGTTAGCAGGAAAAAGCAGCGGATACTTTTTCCAGTTTGAACTCTACCTGTCTTCTAGGAGAGTTTCTACAAAGCCATTTAGTGGTTCAAGAATGTAAAATTCTACATAAGCAGGATATGCTTTCCATCCTACCATTAGGACCATTTTTAAATAAGTATCTGTAGCAAAACACTTCAATAAAAATAGCCAGCGTCCACCAGAATACCTCATTGCTTAGGTATGCGGAGGGTATTTTTCAGTTACACACCCAAGTAATTTCAGAGTTTGTGTAAACCATACAACATAAACAGGAATTTGCACAAATATCTTTTCAAGGTGTCCAAAAAACCAAGACTCTGCTCTTTTAGCAGCAGCTTCAAAGTATCAGAGGTTGATGATGTGCTAGCAATCTGCAATAACTTTCAGTTTTCCATAGTCTTCAGAAGACGCTCGCTGTGCTAGACCAGCCCAGACTTACTCTAAGTTCTTAAGAACATCAGGAGAAATCTCATTTCCTAATTCTTGAGCTTGAGAGCACTGTGACTCCCTCATTACAAGCATAACCAAGCAGGGTAAGAAGTTCTGAAATAAGTGTGAAACTTAAAGAGACAAGAAGGCTTACCAGCTCATCATGGTCCTTGCTTTTGTCCATAGTGTAAGAATATGGAAACAATACCATCTGGGAATAAGAGTGCATGGTTATGTATGCTTTAATGATGTCTTTGTGATCTCTGACAAAGCGAGCCACCGCTTTCACTTCAGGCTCAGACTCTGGATAGGGTCCACAGTATATCTCGTGACATTCATAGGGAGATGCTCCTTCCCCTGTGACAGAAGAGTGCACAGCGTTACTCCTTAACTTCTTCCTTTTTGCATTTCTTTGTCTCCTGAAAGAGCAGAGCATGATGCTAGTACACAAGAAATCGTGGATTCTGCTGTGCTATGGAAAGAACTCCCATGCTTGCAGAAGTCAGTGTGAGCTTCCTAGCATTTCTCACCTACTATACTCTTGAAAAAAATTGGAGAAGATGATGAAAAAAAAATTATTCGAAGACTGGATAAAAAATCTTAGAGGAGAGGATGAATATGCTCCATTTAAACTCATCAAGAACAAGATTGTAAGATCCCTTCTTAAAATCTAGAAGTGCTACAGGAAAAAGGCTGTTCTAAGTGATTATTTAATCTTGGGGGAAAGCAAACTGCAAATTGGAAGCTGAAGAAACACAAGTCAAAATAAGGGTTTTTAAGAATGAGGAAAACTAGGCAATGGAACAAGTTACCAAGAAGACAACTAGGATTCACCATTTTTGCTGTCTTCAGAATAAGACCAAATAACTTTCTGGAAGCAGCCAGGATCTTTAGTGTTAAATGTCAGCTCTTCATTATTAATAAATTTTGTAAGTTTTCCCCTTTGCTACTATCTGTAGTTTAAATGGTCATTTTATCCTTAAATTTTATGCAGGAATAAAGCTCACTGAGTACTTGAACACCCAGAAGACTTTCTTCATCCCTGGGCACTGGGACACTTTTAGAGATGTCCATCTTCCAAAAATCAATAATGCCAGTTACATCTGCAGAATAGCAGCCCTGTAGAAGCAACATAAGCTCTTATCGTGTGATACAGGAGAGAAGTAAATGTCTTCTGGTGCCCGTGACACATAGGGAAGATCTATAGCATGTCACAAATCAGCAGGGATCGTATCTGGACCCCAAAAACACTTAACAATTTTGACATATGTATGTTTTATTTAATTAAAAGTTGCAAGGCTCCATACGGTTGTGTTTAGGTGAAATGTAACAGGCAGAAAGACTGGGTGATACAGCAGTATGTCGCTGTCGATGTTAAGAATAAACCTGTATTTTCATGCATCCAAGCCCCTTTGTAATATCAATGGCTGAAAATAAATCCTCAGGTTACCTACACCCTTTTATGACATAGCAGAAGCAGAAATAATACAGTGAAGAGAGCAGGCTGTGGGGAAGAAGTGCCAACAGAGACACTAAGTCTGGGAGATGCAGGCTGGGAGGTCAGAAACCAGGGTACTGGGGCAGAGATGGCTGTGGTACATTTTATGCTCTGGGATGTGTGTGTTATTCTTAATTTTGCTGATTTAAGGGAGGTTTCACAGACAGTCCATGAAAATTCATGTGCATGAAAACACAAACAGTTCCTAGCATCTATGTGAAATCATGAAAAAGTGGTAAAATAAGAATGTTAAGTTTTACACTGTTCTGTTTTGCACAGAAGTGAGTAACTGTTTGAGCGAAAAGGCAATGAAGGATCTGTTTGCTGGCAGTCTTGGATTAATGTTCTATCTGCTCTCCAAAATCCTTGGTCATACTGAGAACAGCCAGATAAGGAAACAATATGGAAAACATGGCTCAAACTGGCTTCCAGACAAATTTAGTTCCCCAGAGCGAGTGCATAGGTTTCAGTGGAGTAATTTTGCTTTTAGTGTAGAAAAGCATGATGTATCAGTGTATGTAGTATATTTTGCCCTTCAGAAAAATCGTGAGGGCTTTCTGTCTGTTCATAAAGTTGTCATCGGAGCAGCTGAAGAGGAAGAACAGATAAACATGGCAGGATAGCTCTGATTAAATGCATAGATAGAAACTCTGGAATTTTGCGTTGGCACAGAGTGTATTCACAAGCAAATCTGAAGGCAATGGAAGTTTGAACACTTGGCACGCCTGACAAGAACTCCTGTGTTTGACAGTATGTGAGCAAAGGGTAAATTGCAGGTTCCCGTGAATTTATGGTCACTTCCTGTTAGCACAATTGTGTTATTGTATTCCATTGGCACAGCTAATAATAATTAAAACGTAATTATAAAGTGATAAAACTCTGGGTTGGTTCTTCTGAGCCTTCTATTGAACTCCTGGTGTTTTGCGCAGCTACAGTGATAATCGAGGTTCTACAGTTAATATGTTCTGGATCAAATCTGTTCAACCATTGGTACCAGTTACTAAGCAAAGATCCATCTGATTCAGTAGAAGCAATATTTTTATGCTAATTAAGAAAAACAGAATTTTGTTTTCTGGCATTTTACTGACTGTTTAACTAAAAGGAGTAGAAACCTGAGGACATCCTTACAATCATCTGCTTAAGTTATTGTAAGCATCTGACTTTAGTGCTTAAATTTATCTGTAGAATGTTTTTTCTCTCCAATGACCCTGCAAGGTGTTGAGGCTTCTCTCTTCTATGTTTTCATCCATGTCTAAGAGGGGAGCATAGCATGGCTGAAAATGGCATTAATATTTCCCTAGTTACTAAAGATGTTCTGCTTTTGCCCTGTAAGAAGCTGGCCAAAAGTGCTTGACAAGTTAAATGCGATACATTACATAACATTTCCCTGAACCTAGTATCTGTATCACATAGGTTTTTTGCTGTTATTTCTTCAGACTTCTCCAAGTTCTGGTTTCATGACATATTTTTACTGAGTATCACTTTTAAATCTTTGTATTTGGTCTCCATAATTTTGTGCCTGAAAAAATGTGTGTTTTTCTCCATATAATCGCCATGGATGGTAAACAAACACCTTTATTCCCAGTTTAGCAATGGACTAAAATGACTGAAAGTCATACCAGACGTTAGTGTCAGTACTGAGTGAAGCTGGATCTGATCTATAGCGTAAATTTTAAGACAGCTGTTCTGCAGACTATTAAAAACCTCTCAAGTACTGAAGTGCCTGCAGGTAAGTAAACGTGATATAGCCTTGACAACAAACACTGAGAGCCAAGAAATCTTGGTCAGCCAGGTGTTACTGAAGGATGACTGAGATGATCAGTTCATACAACACAGTGGAGCATCTGCTCAACTAGGTGGTGCAACAGGCATTGGGTGACATAGCAAGTGCCACCTCTGCCCTCTTTCCTCCTTGCCCCACCACAGCCTGGCCCCAGTGTGTCATGGTGTGATGCAAGGGATAGGATCCAGGGTCCTGGTCCTCCTCTCCTCATCGTGCTGGGAAGAGGTTAGTCCTTGGTGTGGCATCTGGGGAGGAAAAAACCTGGGTCCCAATGAAAAGTGTCTCAAGTTGGGGAACTGTTTGCTGGTTCATAAAAGTTATTCAGCTACATTTCTATCAACTTTGTGAAATGGTAAACGAAAATGTTTTCAAAATTAAGAATTTTAAAGGCTAAAATGGAGGCAGGAGTACAATAGGAAGGAAATGATGTCATACCACACCAGCGGGCATCAAAGTTCCTGTTCATGTCAGTACCGATGCATTTGCTGTTACCGTGTGATGAGCGGCTCTTTCTCCACAGCCGGTTCTATGGAAAGATACACAAACCATGTTCAGGGAAAAAGCTGAGAAAAATGATGGCCCCATTTCACTTGTTAGTTAAATGTGGCTTCCAACTTTTGCCTCTACAGATCATGTGCTAATGAAGAGGTAAAAGACCAAGAAAGATTATAAAACCACAATCTAATTGCCAGCAAGGCTGGATGATAAAAGGAAATGTTGGGTAGGATAAGAGATCATCACATATGATTAGATTTCTATAGATTTGGGCTGTGGAAGGAGAGAAGAAGACATGCTGTTTGGCCAGGTGTGTGAGTTTTAGGAGTTTAAGTCCAACCTTTCTGTAGGCATTGCTGACAGCACGTGGAAAGTTGGAAAGTTGGTGTGCAGCTGCTGAGATGTGTACATGTAACAATCCCAATGTGAGCTGAGCTGAATTGAAGACCAAATGAGTAAAAAGAGTGGAGAAGACTTTTTTTTTTAACTTGAGCGAAGGGTCTAAAAATCAAAGAACTATCTCAACAACTCAGAATTTCCATCCAACAAATAAAATCCTGGATAAAAGATACCTATTGTACCTTCATTTATCTGAAACAAAAAGTACTTGGAGAACGGGGCTACCTTGCAGGAGGAAGAAGTCTGTTACTGACTGTGCTCTATCTGATGTCTATCTGGCATCACGGAGACGTGGTGGGACGACT